GGATGTTACACCCAGGCCCCTCACACTCAATTTTTGGGTGCAACTTTGGGTACTACAGCCTGGACCAGCTAGCCTGTTCCCAACCCTAGTGCCATGAGTGTTTGTGAGTTCCATGGTCATGCCTATCTCAACCCATCACAACACCCAGCCCTTGAGCTGATATGGCAGCCCCACAGGGGTGAGCCCATGATCTCCCACAGAATCTGCTCCTAGACCCAGTTCTCTCATGAGCTGGCTAGTGTCATGGCCCAGCCTAATATGGTACACATTCTGCCCTGACACTCACATGCGGGTACTATGGTCTACCCTACTAGGTAGGCCTTTAACCATGGCTTTTTTAATGTGCTGGTAGGCAGTGGTCAATACCAACCAGTCTAGTTCAGGCCTCCCACGTGGACAGGCATATTGGTTTGGCCCTGAATGGTCCTCCAATTTCCCTCTCTAAACCACCTAGTCTCAGCCGACTTGTTTACTTGCAAGTGTAGTAACCTTCCTTGTTGGAAGTCCCCCAGAAGTCACTCTTCACCAATCACATTCTCCCTCAGCAGTCCTCCCTCCCACACATCTCCAGACCCACTTCCCTGAGCAATCCCCAGCCCCTATTCTTGCTAGCACCCAGATCCCCAAGCCTGGTTCTCTCGTGGTGTGCTGTGCCAGCCTAGGGCGCTGCCTGCCTACACAGGGCCCACACATGCTCACGTGTGGGTCCCCACACCCTGTCTGCTGGCATGCAGGCATCTGCCTCCCACATGTTAAAAAAAAAGAAGAAGAAAAATAAAATGGAATAGACAACTATGCTGGCACACAGTGGTATAGTTAACACAAATTTGGCATTAGCCAGGCACGGCATGCCCGCCAGCTATTAGCGTCTTTTGTCCCTGCAGTGTAACACTTGCCTAAGTACAGTGGTGTGATAACTTACACTGTAAGGAAGTGTCAACATTTGGAAGATCAGAATAGTTCAGTGAATCCAGATTTTCCAAATGAGGATGTATGATGTTACAAAACTACACACAGATAAAAGACGTGCTCAAGGAGCAGCACAGACCGATAGATTTTTTTTTTAATTGGAAAGCAGATTTACAGAGACAAGGAGAGACAGAGAGAAAGATCTTCTATCCCCTGGTTTACTTCCCCAAATGGCTGCAACAGCCAGAGCTGAACCAATCCGAAGCCAGGAGCATCTTCTGGTCTCCCACATGGATGCAGGATCCCAGGGCCTTGGGCTATCCTCCACTGCTTTCCCAGGCCACAAACAGGCACTTGGAAGGGAAATCAGCCAGGATATGAACTGGCACCCAAATGGGATCCTAGCACAAGCAAGGTGAGAACTTCAGCTAATAGGCTACTGCACAGGGCCCAGACCAATGAATTTTGATGTGAGATGATATAATAAGGTCAATGATATGATTTTAGGTTCCATATGGCAACCAATTCTTAAGAAACTATTATCTTTCCAAGGTTTTATATAGTGTCAAAGAAGAATATGCACAATTACTTGAAAATGTTATTGTCTTTGTGTGTATGTATCAGTTACATAGCTGTGTGAGACTGAATTTTCCTTGTTAACAGACAGCAACAGATTGAGTGCAGAAGTAGATTCTGAGACTCCAATTATTTTTTTAAAGATTTTCTTTTTGTTGGAAAGTCAGATAAACAGAGACGAGGAGAGACAAAGAAGGTCTTCTGTCCGATGATTCACTTCCCAAGTGACCACAATGGCCAGAGCTGAGCCGATCTGAAGCCAGGAGCCCAGAGCTTCTTGTGGGTCTCCCACAAGAAGGGTGCAGGGTCCCAAGGCTTTGGGCCATCCTCAATGTTTTCCCAGACCACAAGCAGGGAGCTGGATGGGAAGCTGCATTACTGGGATTGGAACCGGTGCCCATATGGGATCCTGACACTAACGGTGAGGACTTCAGCCCCTAGGTTACCGTGCTGGGCCTGAGATTCCAACTATTAAGTAGGATATGAAAGTGATTTGCCAAGATGTAAGCACTGCAATATTGTTAGTAACTTGGGGGAAGTTTAGCATGGCTTACATATAATAGGTTTGTTTTTGCTATTTTTGATGAATTGATAAGTATTGTTAAAAAGATTTTTTTAAAGGATTTATTTTACTTCAAAGTCAGAATTTCAGAGAGAGATAGGGAGAGCAGTTCACTCCTCCAATGGCCGCCACAGCCAGAACTGGACCAGTCCTTGACTGGGAGCCAACGATGTGGGTCTCGAGCTTGACTGCAGGGGTCAAGGATTTGGGCTGTCCTCTGTCGTTTTCCCAGGTACATCAGCAGGAAGCCAAACTGGAGCAGCCAGGGCTCTAACAGCACCCATGTGGGATGTTGGCATTCTAGAAGATGGCTTAACCGGCTATACCACAGTGCTGGCTGCCAAGATTTAGCTCTGCTGCAAGGCAGAACTACAGAGAAAGAGGGAGAGCCAAAGAGAGAGGGAAAGATCTTTCATGTGCTGATTCACTCTCCAGATACCCTCAAGAGCCAGGGCTGGGCCAGGCGGAGGCCAGCAGTTAGGAGCTTCATGCAGGTCTCACACAGATGGGCGACAGCAGCCCAAGCACTTGGACCCTCTTCGCTGCTTTCCCAGGCACATTGACAGGGAACTGGATTGGAAGTGGAGCAGCTGGGACCCAAACCAGCATTCTGAGTATAGGCAGTGCTAGCAACAGCTTCAGTCGCTGTGCCACTGGTTGGCCCTGAGCTGATCTGCATTTTGTACTGTTCTCAATTTCCATCTTCATCTAACAAGTCCTGTTAGGCTGAAGACACGTCAACCAAAGCCCTTTGGAACCTGCAATAACTGCTCCAGGCATCAGGGATTCTGAGAAGAAGTGCTGCATTAGGCAGACATGTTGGATCCAAGCATGAGTCAGTGTGTGTGTGTGTGTGTGTGTGTGTGTGTGTGTCGCCTGCACCAAGACAGTCACCCAGTGGACACTGTGGAAATGCTGACATCTGAGTGGACTCTTAAAGACTGTCAGGAACCAACCTGAGCGAAGGGCACTTTCAGCGGTAACAGAATGTGTCCCTGGTGGGGGTAAAGCTTTAGGGGGAAACAGGGCTGTTGCCTGCTCCCAGACTTAATCAGCAGCAAGGCTGCGGTGAGGGCTGGGGCTGCGGCTGGGCATGCCGAGCCAGGCAGGGGCCAAAACAAAGGGCCTTCTATACCATATTAAGAAATGTAGATTCTTTTTTTTTCATCCTCAAAGGCGGGGGAGGGATGAAGGGAGGAGTTTTGATCTTGTGGGTATTAACTTTTTAAAGAGATCGTTGGCAGAAGTGTGGAGGGATACTTGAATGAATAAACGAGCTGGGGGTGCAGGGCCAAGGCCACCCGAAGAAGGAGGTAGCCGATTTGGTAAAGAGGAGTGTACGCCCCGGCAGTGTAAACACGAAAACTGAACTTTACAACGATTAGCCTGGCCCCTGTGCAAGGATGATTTTGTAGAAAGGTGGCTTTCCAGGACTAAGTGAATGTGAACAAGTGTGTGTGGAGGGGCGCTTGATCCTCCCCAGGGGTCCTGCTCCGGTCTCTGGGTGGACGACCAGGCGACCCTCACAAAGTATGGGGGACATAGGGACGTCAGACGGTACTCAACCCATAGCTAGTGAGTAGGTAGCTAGGCGCTCGGAATGCATTTCCGCGCCCCTCCCCAGGGTCCCCAGCCCGTCCACAAAAACCCAAGCTGGGTGCTCCCCGTACGGGGTGGGAAGCAGAGCGCACCACCGGCTGCAGACTGCCCGAGCCTCGGCTCTCCCCACACCTCCCTCCCTCGGGGTGGCTTTCCGCTTCCTCTCCCCCACCCCACCCCGTAGAAACCCAACAGCCCTGCACCCCGAGCCCCGGAACCCCAGAGCCCCAGAGCCGTGCTCAGGAGGGGGACCTCGGTCGCTGGACATGGGGTGGCCCCTCAGTCCGTCCTGCCGAGACCCGCAGCTCCGTGATTCTCTCACCACCACCACCACCTCTTCGCCCCCGCCTTCCCCGCCCCAATCCAGCCCCGCCTCCCCACGGGGAAAGAGCCCAAAAAAGGGCAGAAAAGAAAATTCGGAGTGAAGTTGGCCCACTGGGGAGGAGAGTCCGCCGGGAGCGGAGGGGAATGAGGGCGGGGGATGGGAGGAAAGGGACTCGTCCCGGGTGGGAGTGGGGGCGGGGAGCGCGCCCTGGTCAGTGGTTCCCCCCTCCTCCCATACACCCCGGCTCCATGGAAAATATGCGGGGCACGTGGGGGGCGGGGCAGGCGGGGCAGCCTGTGGAGGAGAGGCCCGGGCTTGGGGGGGGGGGGGCGGATTGGCTTGGAGCTGGGAAGGGGCAGCTGGGTGTAAAGAGGCATCAGGCCGAGCCCGCTTTGCGTGTTCCTGGTGCGCTACCCATTCCCCACTCCTGCCTTAGTTTCCCCAAGCCCCCTGGGGAACCTCCGCTGTCACCACCACAGATCTAGATTCTGGGACTCGGGGTAAACTGAGGCTCTCCTGGGCGTCCCGCCTTCTGAGACATTCAATCCGGGGGGGATTTACAGGAAACTTCTAAATTAAGGGCAGCGGCTGCTGCAGATGAGTGGGGAGGAGAGGGGGGGAGCCGCGGATCCCTGTGCCCAGGCAGCTGCCGTGAGCTCACGCCCCGAAATAGCCCCAGGGGCCTCAGCCGCAGCTGCCACTGGGCCCGGCTGTCACTCAGCACGCCCCGAGCCCCCAGCCCCAGGGTGCGCGCGCCCCTCCGCAGCGCCAAGGCTGGAGAGGCCACTGGGGCAGCTTTCCCTTCCGACGGCTGGCTGGAGAGGGAGGAGACGAGAGATAGGGGCGGGACCCCAAGGGGGCGGCCCCGAGGGGGCTGGGCGTAGGGGGTGGCTGCCGCGCCCCCACACCCGCCGGGCAGTGCTTCTGCCCCTACAAGGTTTGGGCCGCGGCGGGGGAGGGTCCTGGGCCCCGGCTCCGCCCGATCCCTCCCGGCCTTTTAGACGCCCCCACGCAGTCGGGAGACAACCCAGTCCCGCTCGGTCCTCCTCACCCAGCACCCTCGTGCTCCCCGGGTCCGCGCCGTCCGTCGCGTCCACCAGGTCCTCACTGCTCCTTGCCGGCCGGCCCGCCCCCCCACCGCAGCCATGGACGCCATCAAGAAGAAGATGCAGATGCTGAAGCTGGACAAGGAGAACGCCATCGACCGAGCCGAGCAGGCCGAGGCCGACAAGAAGCAAGCCGAGGACCGCTGCAAGCAGGTGGGGGAGCCCCTCCTCCCACCCTCGGTGGGCTGGGCCCTCTCATCTCCCGCTCCTTCCCCAAGTGTGAAGGCTGGTGAGCCATCACAGTACCCCCCAAGCTGGGGAGCCCCAGGCCCCCCAGTTCCACTCTTGCCCAATGAGAGGTCCTGCTCCTTGGGGTTGAAAGCTTTCTCTCTCCACTCCAAGAGCCTGCCCTGTTCCCCTTCTTCCTCTTCAGCACCCTCCAGATCTGTCTTAGCACCCCCTCCCACCGGGCCCCCTTGGCAGGCCCAGCTGACCTGAACCCCTTCTCTCCCAGCTGGAGGAGGAGCAGCAAGCCCTCCAGAAGAAGCTGAAAGGGACTGAGGACGAGGTGGAGAAGTACTCCGAGTCCGTGAAGGACGCCCAGGAGAAGCTCGAACAGGCTGAGAAGAAGGCCACGGATGTGAGTGTGGACTTGGAAGCCCCCACTCCCAGCTGGGGAGAAGCCAGTGGCCTGGCCAGCAGCCCCAAGTGCCCAGCAGGGGAGAAAGACTCCTAGCTCTTTCCCCTGGACCAGGCCAGGATCGGAGGTTTCCTGTCAGGGATTCTCACTAAGACAAAAGTTCCCAAATAACCCCAGACAACAGGTCATTCCACCCTCCAGGGACTTGGCCTTGTGATTCTGCTCAGTTCCAGCTCTTGGTCAGCCAGGGTGGTCCTGGGGGTGGTCCTGGGGGTGGGCGTGTAAGGAGTTGCCATCTGTGTCTGACTGGGCATTGGACAGGAGGCCACTACAGCTACATTTGGGGAAGTGTGGGGTGCATGGGATGTGGGGACAAGGGCTCCAAGGACAGGGACCTGACTCCAGTTACACGCTGAGGGGGCCGTTAGAAATTCCTTGGCCTTGACCTTTGGCTCCTCAGTCCTGTTGTGCCCTGGAGGCCCCAGCTCAGGTTCTGAGACTCCTCATTTACCCTCATTAAGCTGTCAGCCTTGGGACCACGCCAGGCCACAGGGCCACCTATGCCAAGGCAAGGCACCTTGGCAGGTCCTGCTTACCCTGAAATGTCTCCACTCACCCCACAGTCCCAAGCAGGCTTCTCCAATTTCCTCTTTTTCCAACCCCTCTTCTCCCATAAACAAGGTAGGAGAGGAGCCAAATGACCAGAGCACAGCAGGTAGTTCCACTTTGCCTCAGTTTCCCCAGCTGCCATCCACCTAGGATAGTTGTAAGATGAGCTTAGTGTTGGGGTGTCCTGGAGTGGGGGCTGAGGCAAGTGGAGGGCATGGTCTGATCCTTGTCGCGATCTGAGTTCTCCAGCCCCCAGGGCTGGGATTCTCTGACCTCCAGCCTCCAGTGCTGCCTCTCCACCAGCCCTGGCACTTGGGAAGGGACTGACCTGCAGCTGCTCGCCAAGATGACCCTGGGCACCTGACACTCTATAAATAACTGGGGCCCAGTGCAGCTGGAGGCAGGACTGGAAACCCAAGGAGCTGGCTGGGGGCTGGAGGGGAGGGAGAGGGGACAGTGACAGAGCTGGGAAAGCAAGGCTTCCCTGTCAGGAGGAGAGAGGGAGCCCTGTCCACCTTCACCCAAGGGTGCTCTTGAACTCGGCTCTTCAGGAACACATTGCCTCTTTCTGTGCAGGAGAGCCTGTCCTGGGGTTAGAGAGTCATTGCCCCTGACTGGGAAATGCTCCCCATAGAAGAAGTGGCACCTGTCAGTCCTGGGAAAGAGACCCCAGAACATCCCACACCTTCTAAAGCCATGAGCTGCCCGACTGCGATCCATGGAGAGTTTTCCTTTTACGGAGACTTTCTGTGGAGTAGCCCCCAGTGTCTCCTGGAGTCCCAGCCCCCTGTGCTGTCCTCAGAATCCTTCCACACTGAGTCATCTGGCCCCATGCCATGCTGAGCCCTTGTCCTCTGGGTGGCCGACCTCCAGGTGCCTTCAGCACCTGGGGGAACAAGTTACAAAATACTTTCTATATTGGGCCTTGGGTCTCTCTTTGCCCAGTGGTGCTGCCCTCTGTGCCCTCTGCCCCGAGGCTGCCCTGCCTCTCACCTACACTGATTCTTCTCCAATCTAAAGTCTCGCTGAACCTTTCTGTGTCGTTGAGGGAGAGATGCAGGCAGCTCGGTGTTGATGGCGTGTGGGCTGTCTGTAGGCAGTGTGCTTCAAGTGCTTCCTATGACATCATGATTTCCCACACTCCGACTTGGCATCAGAATCGCTTGGGAGCTTTAAAAAGCAAACAAACTCATGCACCTCCCCCATTGCCCATGGGATCTCACTCCCCAGCTCCCGCCCCTTCTCCCCAATCTCCAGGAATCTCATCTCAGTGGCCCCAGTGTGGCCTGTGCTGCCGCAGTCAGAGCCTCACAAAGGTGGAGTTGCTTAATGATTGGAAGCCTGCATGTGAGCAGCCCTCCCACTACAGAGATCTGGGATTGTTAATTCCAATTTCCGAAGGAGGAAACTGAGACTTAGAGAGGCTAAAGCTGCTGCCAGAGGTCACACAAGTGTGGAGTGGCCGTGCCATGGCTCAGAGGCAGCAGCCTGGCTCAGAGCTGAGACACTCGCAACCCCCAAGGGGGTTGCCCACTGAGCATTTTCTTGGGGCCCAGCTCGCTCTGCCCTGTCTTTTGTTCTCAGGGAAGTATGAGGTTTTATGGGCCTTTCCAACACTCTGTGTGGTTTTTGCCTCCCTGTGACAAGATCAGAGGCTAGGGGCCTATCACTCACACTGCCCCTGTGCTGCCTTTGCCTGTCTCCTTGGCCCTTGCAAGGCTTTCTCATTGGCCTGGCTTGCCTTGTGGACTCCTGGCGGCTAGTCTGCCTAGAAGCTGGTGACATCTCTGGGCTGCAGTCTGTGATTGGCTATCCTGAGCAGTGGTGACATCTGGTTGGCCCTGATTCTTACCTGGGCCAGGCCCTGATGGCTTGGATCTGGTCCCAGCCCTTCCTTGGAGGGCCCTCACAGGAGACAGAAGGAGCTGCGTGCAGAAAATCCTCGCGAGATTAGCTGTGCATGCTGGCAAGATGAGAGAGGCCCTGTAGCAAGCGAGTGGAGTCTGGCAAGGAATGCAGGTTTGGGGCTGGAGCCCAAAGCCCCTGGGCATAAGAGAACGGAGGCCAAATAGGTGCAAGGTCTAGAAGCTGAGAAGCCTTGATCCTTTCTGAGAACACTCTTCCTGGCCTCTGGAACCTCTCTGACCTCACCTAGAACAGACCAAGAATTCTGACCTCTGACTTCCCACCTCTGACCTATAGGCTGAAGCAGATGTGGCCTCTCTGAACCGCCGCATCCAGCTGGTAGAGGAAGAGCTGGACCGGGCACAAGAGCGCCTGGCCACTGCCCTCCAGAAGCTGGAGGAGGCTGAGAAGGCAGCCGACGAGAGCGAGAGGTGGGCAAGGGGGCCCTGGGAGAGAGGGCCAGTGGGCAGAGGGACTTGTTTCTACTGGTCCTGCATCCTGAGCCCTCGCGATGCTCTCTCCACCTCTCAGAGGGATGAAAGTCATCGAGAACAGGGCCATGAAGGATGAGGAGAAGATGGAACTGCAGGAGATGCAGCTGAAGGAGGCCAAACACATCGCCGAGGACTCGGACCGCAAATATGAGGAGGTGCCTGCCCTGCCCCGCCTGCTGCTTGCTGCTGCTCCCCAGCCACACCCCCGCAGAGCCACTGAGTCTCTCCTCCTGCTCCTTGCCAGGTGGCCAGGAAGCTGGTGATCCTGGAAGGAGAGCTGGAGCGCTCGGAAGAGAGAGCTGAAGTGGCCGAGAGGTAAGGACACCACCCTGGGGTGGCCAGCAGCTGGCCATGGCCCCTCTACAGCGGGGAGGCAGTTTCCCAGGGTTTAGGGCTGCTGGTGGGGTGGGGATTAGCTCCTGTCCTCTCTGACCCTTGCCTGCCGCCCCCAGTCGAGCCAGGCAGCTGGAGGAGGAACTCCGAACCATGGACCAGGCCCTCAAGTCCCTGATAGCCTCGGAGGAGGAGGTAGTGAGCTCTCCGGGCCTGTCTGGGCAGCTGTGCCTTCTCTCAGCTCACCTCCCCTCCAGCTCTGCAGCTCAGGCCCCTCTCTCACCTGATGGATCGGGAGGGCCCAGGGCTTGGGGACTCTGCCGACTGTCACTCTCACACCTCTGCTCTGCTCTTCTCTCCTCCACCCTCCCACTGCACCTGCTCCACCTCCACTGCCTCACCTCCCTGTGCCCTCACACCCCGCCCCGCCACACCCCTCCCCACACCTGCAGTAAATGTGGGGACCTAGAGGAGGAGCTGAAAATTGTTACCAACAACTTGAAATCCCTGGAAGCCCAAGCCGACAAGGTAGAGGAGGGTAGTGAGGATGGGTTCCTGCAAGGGGAGGAGGGGCTGATTCACAAGGAGCAGCTGAGGGCTGCGAGAAGGAAGCAGGCTTGGAGGAGGTGCTGATGATGCGTGTCTGTCCCCACAAGTACTCCACCAAAGAGGACAAATACGAAGAGGAGATCAAGCTGCTGGAGGAGAAGCTGAAGGAAGTGAGTACTCCTTCCTGTTGCTGGTCTCCCTCAGGCCACTCCTGTCCCTGGGTCGGGGAACTGGGGGCAGCGACAGGAACGGGCACTGGATGCAGGCTTCACTGTTTGCATCCACTTCCCTCCCTCCCCCCCCCGCCAAACCCTGACCACCAATCTCGCCTTGACGCTCAGGCTGAGACCCGGGCAGAGTTTGCAGAGAGGTCTGTGGCAAAGCTGGAGAAAACCATCGACGACCTGGAAGGTAAGGATGCCCTCCCCCCTCTCGCCGTCGGCACACCTGATCCTCCTAAAACCAGCCCATGCCCAGGTTGCGCCTTATCTTTTTGTTCCACTGAATTTGTTGATGATGATCATGGGATCGAGCCACTCAGAAGTCCATAGATTTGTGTAGGTGAGGCCTATGATACAGATGCTCATAGCTGGTCATTCCCCATTACAGCCAAAACCTCTCTGACTTAAAATCCTGCATGAGCTTCACCCAGGAGTGAGGCTCTCTGAGAACACGGAGCCCTGGGCCCTCTCTCTAGCTTAGGCTCACTTTGGCCTGGCTCCCTGGTAATGCTGGTGCTGTTGGTGGCTCAAACCGCATGCACCCTGGCTCTCACCAGTTTTATGCCCCGTGCAGCACAGTGGAGTTCCACAGTTACATCACACAGATGTCTTCACTGATTTTTCTCTCATTTTATTTGAAAGGAAGAGAGACAGAAAAAGAGCTTCTATTTGTCCATAGGTTTTCTTCCCATAAAACCCACAACAGATAGGGTTAAGCCAGGCCAAAGCCAGGAGCCTGGCTCTCCCACGTCAAGGGCAGGGACCCAGCTACTTGAGCCATCGCCTGCCGTCTCCCCGGATGCCCAGGAGAAGGAAGCTAGAATTGGAGTTGAAGCTGGGACTCAAACCCAGACACTTCAGTGTGAAGTGTTGGGGACCCTAAGCAGTTCTCTTCATGGCTGCACTGGGTGTCCATGCTAAAACAGAGAGCCGTTTGGTTTAGCATTGAGGTTTCATGATAACTTTACTGGAAAAGATTCTTTGAAGCTGGATTAGGCAGAAGATATTTGCTAGCCTGTGACTACCCTAGATCAACACTCTCCTTGTCTCTCCTTTTTATTCCTTAGTAACCCTTTAGCTCTCAAAACTCCTGCATCCCTTGCTTCCCACCCTCCCAGGCCAGCAGCAAGTTCATTGGCTTTTCACTGTCTGGCCCAGACACCTGCTCTTCCTCCAGCGAGCACACCTGCTTGTTCAGAGGCAGGAACTTCTCAGGGACATGCAGCTTGGGGTACAGCTGCAGGACAGAGGGAGCAGGAGAGAGGGGACGCAAAGTGGAGGAAGGAGCCTTGGCAGCTGTCCAGCCTGTCCTCTGGCCTGTTTCTCTTGCCCTGTCCACTTGTCTGATTCTCTCTCCATCGCCCTCTCTCCTTCCTTGCCTCTTTCCCTCCACTCCCTCTCCCCACACTCCCACCTGGCCTCCCTCCCCTGGACAGATGAAGTCTATGCACAGAAGATGAAGTACAAGGCCATCAGCGAGGAGCTGGACAACGCACTCAACGACATCACCTCCCTCTGAGTCCACCCCAGTGTGGCTGCCTTGGCCCCCCTTTCCCCTCTCTTTCCACTCTCTTGGGGGAGGGGAGGCAGGCAGAAGGAGCATAGTTTCGCCAAGGTGGCACAATCAGGCTGGGAGCGGCCTGTGGAGTAACCCCACATACCCCCTGACCCCACATACCCTGGCATTAGCTTCACCCTACTTTCTCTCTGCTGCCCCTGCACCTGCTGGCCTCCACCTCTTCTGCTGCTTTAATAAACTCTGAACTTGGTCTCCATGCTCTTTTCCTGTCACCCAGAGCACCACTTGACTCTTGCCACCCCAGCCCTTACCGACAGCCCATGCCTGTCACAAGCACCCTGCCCTACACTGGGCCCTCTCACCACATCCCAAGGCTCACACTGTGACCCCTGTGCACGCACCCCCAGACTCACTCTGACTGTCACTGCTGCATGTGGGCATGGGTGGCCTCGCCAAGCACCACACTGACACCACCCCATCATGTGTCCATCACTGGCCTTGGAGCACTCAGCTGCAGTGCCAGGATGTGGCAGAAAAGACTGGCAAGGAAGTTGTGTGGTGAGGTGCCAGGGAGTGGGGAGGCAGCAGGAAGGTGGAAAAAGTTCTGGAATGAAGTTCAGAAGCAACGTGGGGCTTTGGCCACAGCTACAGGTCTGTTTTCTGCTTTGAGCCTTTTCCTTCTTCCCTGTCCTGGTCTTTTCCTTCTGTTTTCCATTACCTCAAGTCTTCTGAAGCAGCAGGGTAAATGACTATGTGACTAGGATGTCCCCAGGTCTGTCCTGGTCAACTCATGCATCTGCCCCTGCCGTGGAGCCCTTAGGTCCCTGCGAGTGCGTGCGTGCGTGTGTGTGCGTGGCCCCTGTGTGTCGCCTACCCTCCCATCTGTGAGTTCCCTGTGTGTGTCCCCTCCCCGTGCTCACATGCTGCTTCCCCTCACAGAGACCTTGGCCAGTGCCAAGGAAGAGAACGTGGAGATCCACCAGACCCTGGACCAGACCCTGCTGGAGCTCAACAACATGTGAGGGCTGTCCCTGTCTGGGTGGGCTGCTGCCACCTCAACCCAATAAAACTGACATCACTGGTCTTGCTGGGCCCACTCTGCCTTGCTTTGGTGTTGGCCAATCACCTGGGAGGACCCTTGAATGGGCATTCTGGGCCTGGGTCCTTGCTCTGAAATGGGGTCATGGGGCAGGGAACACTTGCCTTGCTGAGGGATGGGGGTCGTCAACAGGCTGCATGCAGCAGAGGAGCCCCATGGGGCAGGAGGACGAGGCCATGTCACACCCTCACTTCCCGCATAGCAAAGTTGCTGCCCAGAGCATGGCCCCGTTCCCATTGGCAGCCAGACAGGGTCATTCCCTCTGCTGGCAGAACAGTGAAAGGCAGCACAGGATGTCCTGGAGTGGCATGGGAGCTCAAAGGCTTTTATATACTCTCTGCAGCCTGTTCCTCTCAGCGTGCATGTGCACACACACACACAGCCCTGGCAGCAGTATCTGTCATATTTGCCACTCTTCCAGATAACATCTGCACCACGCAGGTAAAGCCCACCTAGTCTAATTTTGCTCCTGTGAAGGGTTCCCTTACAGAGGATGGCAGACTTGGCAATGAGATGGGAGATGAAGTGGCCAGTCCTCTGGGTAATGGCCAGGGTACTCATGTGAGGGAGGCAGGAAGGCCACTGGCAGTACCAGGGGATGTGAGGAGAGGCCACAAGCCAGGAATAGCAGGTGGCATCTGGACTCTGAAAAATGCAAGAAAACAGCCCTTGCTTGGAGTACCTTGTATGATCTGTTGTGGGCTTCTGGCTGCAGAGATATGAGAAAAATGGGCATTTTGATGTCACAGTAGCAGCAGGAAACTGACATCCCTTCCTTCCTATCTGGGAACAAAGGTGACGCCCATGTGTTTTCTTACAAATATTTATTTTTAAAAAAGTTCTTTGGAGGGCAAAAAGGAAGTGGTATAAGGGGCATGATAAGTCCACGCGAGTCTCCTCCAGCCGTCTATGCTTCTGTTTTCTCCAAGGCTCCGGGCCACTAGGCTCCAGTCTCTGCCATCTCTGCAGGGTGGTAGCTGACACCTGCTTTAGTCTCTATTCTGTCACTATACGACAGGGAAGCCTCATCAGGAATCTGGCCTGCAAGAACCTCCCTTGCATGCCACCTGCATGAAATGTGACTCCAGGTTGAGGGGGAGGGCGTGCCAGAGGGAGAGGATCAGGGGGATGGATACCTGTGCTTTTTCATCTGCACGAGGAAGGCGATGCTGGTGGCAGCAAAGAGGAAGCCAAAAACCAAGGCCAGGATGTCCCCTGGTGGGGGGGGCAGAAGAGGACTGCCTCAGGGAATGAAGGGAGGCGTCCCCCTTGTCCACTCCTGCCCCAAAGTCTCAGCCCCCAGAAAAGATTGGGGCAGGCTCAGGAGGGACCACAAGCCTCCCATAAGCTAGGGGAGAGGGATGCGGGATTTCTGATCATCTCAGCCTTGAAGACACTGGGAGTCTGACTGTATCACTTTGTGGTTAGGGGTCTATTCTGCAGAATATGGGGATGAGGTGAGTGGAGGTGGTTCTAGCTAGCTCCCAGGTATCCTCCAGCACTAGCAGCCAGAGACCTAGACTTACCAGCGGCAAGGCAGGAGTGCAGGTGGACTGAAGGAAAAGAAAAGACATTAGAGCTGCGGACTGTGGCCACCTGTGATGAACACTTGCACAGTGAAGACATGGCAGGAGATGAGGGACATGTGGCTAGGGGTACCACACAAAGCTGCACCTGGTTCGGGGCTGCCATCTCCGTTAGTGGGAAAGGAGGCCTCGATCATTCGTCCATCCAAAGGTTGCGCTGCACGGAAGTTCAGCTGCAGCCGAGAGTCACCAGGTCCCCAGAGGGAGCCGGAGAGGGTGTGGAGCTAGGGAGGTGGGCAGACAGTGCAAGTGTGCTCCTGGCCACAGGAAACCAAAGGGTCCCAGGCTTAGCGCTGCACCCCACCCCCTCAGTGAGCCCTACCTGTTTTGCACTCAGTTTCACTGTCTGGTTAAACACAGTCCAAATGACCCCCTGGGAGCAGGGGGGTGTGGTCAGAGACCCCTCATAGCGGAAGTAGCGGCTGAGATCGGAGGGCAACAGCGCAGACACATCCAGTCCTGGGATCCAAGTCTCTGAGCCTGGAGAGAACACCTGTTTTGGGGTCTCATCTAGACTATCCCCCGCTTGAAATTCCAAGGATCCAGCAGCCCAACAGAAACACCCTGAGGCCACTTTTACATTGAATGGTCCCTTTCCTGCAACTCTAAAGAAAGGGAAAGACTTGGAGACAACTGTAAGAGGCTCTTTAGCTCCCTCCCTGGCTCTTCTGTGTGTTGCATGCCAACATGCGTTGCAAGCTGGACCATGGATGGAACCCAGTGTCTGCCAAAAAGGAAAAACGAGCCAAACGGAAGCCAAGGCAGAGAACCCTCCAGTTTAGCATCAACCCAGAGAGCAAGTGAGCTTTCAGACTGAGAAGGGAACACTTTTCACCAAAAGTACTCACAAAGTTTGAAACACCATTTGGTGGTGGTGGTGGTTGGTAGTGGAGAGAGGGTTTTGAGGGGGAAGGGGAAGGGGCCTGATTTAGCTTTTTGTTCGGTTTTGTTTTGGTTGGTTTTGAATGGTAAATCCTGGAGGTCAGCAGCTGGTCTCTGGTCAGCTTCAAAATTAAGGATCAGAAACAGCTGACACTTTGAGGTTCACCCCAGCCTAAGGCTCTCCTGGGCAGTTCTCTATGAACTGGGTGGGGTACACAGGGTGGGGCACAAGGGTGGGAGAGGCCAGACCAGTGCACCAACCTTCCTCGGGGATCTCTCCCAAATGTGACAGCAGCTGCTCATAGGCGCTGTTTTCTTCCGGACCCTCCTGGGGATGACAGTGCAAGACACAGTGACACATGCATGCAAGGCCATGACTGGAGGCCTGAACGTGGGGTGGACTTCACCATGGTCCTCCCCGAGGCCCCAGCCCTGAGAAAGGTAAGGAGCACATGGTTTCATGCATTGCTACTCAAAGCTGATACACACTCCAGCTATGCAAACTCGTAGGCTCCGTGGACTGACTTTCAGTGGCAAACCAGAGGAGACAGGAAGACGGGCTGCTTGGCCAGCAGACATGGCCTCAGGGACCTGGGCCCTATGCACTTGTATCCTCTGTCTCATCACTACCCTACACACTCCATGGTTTCCTCCTGAAGAAAGCTATCGCCCAGACCTGTGTTCATAACATTTCTGCAGGCAACTGAACAGTTCCTGGCTGCCATCTGGACGTGGGGCAGGGAGGTAGTGGGGCTTCCCTGCCATTGCTTCTCTGAATTTTGTGTTCTGAGGCTGGCATTAGGCAGTTGGAAGGTAAGCAAACCTTCTCTAGTTTTTCTGAACGTGTCCTTGGTCATTTGGGGCTAAAGAGGTCGCTAAGCACTGACTGCCACTAGGGGCCTTGATGCATTACTGGAGAACACTAGAGCCACCATTGGGCTGAGGTCCAGTCTGGTGCACCTGCCATGGCCTGAGTGGGCCACATAGCCCCAGAGCGTGGAACATTTCCTTTGTTTTCCCACTGTTGAACACTTCAAGACATACAGACCAGGAGCTGGGGGATGGGTGAGAGGGGTCCAGGTGCCCTACCTGCAGAAAGGCAGCCAGCACTGCCAGGCCTCCCGGGCGTCCCAAGGCCTGGCCCATCTCGGTGAACGAGGTGCTCATGTGGACCACGTGGATCTGGAGAGGATGTGAGGGAGAGGAAGAGTGGGGCAGATCTCCAGCCCTGCTAGGCTGCCCTTTGCTCCGCCCCGGCAACCCCCGTTCCTCGCCTCACCTCCGCAGGGAAACGGTGGCCGTCCACGGTGTGTTCCGAGCCGGGGCGGTCCGCGGACCCCCAGTGCAGGTGCAGTTGCAGGGCCCGGTACTCCCGGCCAGGAGCCAGGGCCAATTGCAGTCCCGGGGGCAGAGTCAGCTGCACTGAGACGGGGAGCGGCGGGTGATTCCTCCATCTCCACCCCACAAGCACCGCCCAGCCGCACCCTGGGCCCGCCCCATCCTCATCTTCATCCCCCACAGGGTCCCGGTGGCTGCTGGCTAGCCCGGGCTTGGCGAGAAAGCCCTCCTCACCCGTGTGACCATTGTTGCTCAGGCGCAGCTCAGGGAGCCGCGGGAGCTCAAAGCCCAGGAGTTCCAGGGGTCGCAGGGCCGGGCAGAAGGCGGTGAGCTCGGGGCGGATGTTTACCGGGGATTGGAAGCGGCCGGCGCAGGCAGGCGACACCTGGGGCCAGGGCGGGTTGCCTGGTGGGGGCAGAATGGGGTTGAGAGAGAGTTTGATGAGGCCACCTGGCGACGTTGGTCGGGAATTTGGGATTGGGGGTGGGGGACACCCGGGTGGAGAAATTGAGGATGTGGGCCCGGGAGGTAAGGAGGGCGGGAAATGCCAAGTGGGCAGGCCGGGCGGCGGGGCGCGCGTCAGTGGGGCGCAACTGCGGAGCCGGCTCCGTCGGTCCTGGGCGGCTGTGAGTCTCACCTCCGTAGCGCCAGTGGCTGTGATCCTCCCCTGCAGAAAGGACACAGGGCAGCAGGCCCCCGTGAATGTCCGGTCCTGCCCCGGAGCCCGAGTGTGGCGGCTCCCGGTTGGCGGACACCGCGCACAGGTAGCAGCGGGCAAGCCTAGAGCACTCCCTGGGAGTGAATGACGGGCGGACCAGCCGGCTCGCGTGGGACCCGACCTTTGGGGTTTGTGTGGACGACTCCACACAGCTTGTTACCCGGGCCCAGATCAGGCAGCCCACTCTCCCTCCTCCGAGCACTCCCACCCCTCACTCCGCGTAGCATCCCTCCACTCTTCCGGGTCTCCCACTCCTTAACCAAAGTTGGGGGCTTGGGAGCCCGAGTATCCCCTAGATCCCTGCTGTTCCCTGGCTAGATGCGAGATGAGGCGGCCTCTGCAACCTTTCCTCCTCCTCTGATGCCCACTCAAAGCACCCACCTTTTCCTCTTTTCCCCTCCTACTTTTTTGCCTCCTTCCGCTGCTGTGTCTGCCTTCTCTGGCACGCTCATCTCTGCCGCCTGCCTTTTTCTCTCCTTCCCATCTCTTCCAGCTCATGTCTCTGCATCCGCGCCTCCCTCCCTCTTCTCCCCACCCGGCACCTTGGAGTGGGCACACAGCAGAGGGGACTGGTGGTGCTGAGCCTCTGTATCTGGGAGAGGCAAGCTCTTCTTCCCTGAACTACAGGCTGGATCCGGGCGAGGTGGGCTAGGGGAGGCGTGACCCCACCGGCTGCTTACCTTTTCTGCCTCTGTGGGCATTATTCGGGGGACCATGGGTATGCACAGGAGCTCTCGCGGTGGGTCGGTCCTCCGGCTTCAGGGAGTTCTCAGTTGGTGTCCTCTCCACCTCCAGGGAATCTTCCTGCCCTGGTGGGTCCTCCTCACTGGGCAGGTCTTCCTCTCCTGGGGGATCATCCTCCCCGGATGAACCTCCCCCAGGGGCGGGATCCCCCTTTCCTTGGGGCAGGCTCTGGGGATGGGCAGACACCAGGAGTTGCAGTGGCGGCAGTAGCAGCAGTATCAGCAGCAGCAGCAGCGGATGCGCGGTGGGACCGGGGGTCAGCCGAGGCAGGCAAGGGCCGGGGCCCGCGAGAGCCATGCGGCTGATGGTAGGGTGCCCCGGGACGCGGTGTGTACGGGCTCTACGTGCATTGGAAACTGGAGCCGGTGGGGGAGGAGCGAGCCTGTAGAGGAGCGGGCTGACTCACAGAGTGCCCTTTTGTAGAGCGCAGAGCCAAAGTCCCGCGGGTCTATTTGGCCTTGTGCCCCCTTCCCCGATACCAGGGCCTGGGGAAGGGTGGAGTGAGGGGCAGGTGTGTGCTCCGGGAAGGTTATAGAAGTCACAGGCACAACTTGGAACCCAAGGCGCCACCTGGCACTGCATGGGCTCTCCCTGGCACCACCCGGCTGCTTGCCTGCCAGCCTCAGCTAACACTGGCTGGCTTCCCGGCCCCTGGCCAAAGAAGATGGAAGGTGGAGGAACTGGGACCCCCACTTGCTCTGGCTAGCTCTCGACCAAGGAGGGAACAGGGAAAAGGATAGGGCAGACTGCTGGGTAAAACCTGAAGGTGAGTCAGTGGAGGGGAGGTAGAGAGACCAATTTCAGTGTGAACAGGAAACTGCACATACATATGAGAAAGATTCAGATGGACTCAGACTTGCTCAACAGTCTGATTGGCTCTCCATGGGCTACCAGAGTTTTGGCACCCCCTCACCTTCCTTCTGTGGCTATCCAGATCCCTTAAAATCTACTCAAGAGACCTTTCTGTTTTAGCTCTTGCTGCACTGCCTCCTGTGCCAGTCAAATCAAACTGTTCTTCCACCCCCCTCCACATTTTTTACCACTCTGGTTAATCTAACCCTTAACAAGTGACGCCAGTCACTCTTTCATTCAACAAGTATTTAGGGCCATGTCCCAGGGATCTGGAAATGAGCAAGACCTGGCACCCGCCCTAAGGAGTACACAGGAGACAGGGATTTTCACAATGCAGTATTTTCGTAGGGGGAGAAATGAACTTGGCGGCAGAAGGTGGGACACAGCAGGTACAGTTTGATCAGGACCTTGAAGAAGTTATAGGCTCATTAGTGAAAACAATGGGTGGGGGGAGGGGTGAGATGTCTTGAGCAACTGGATGAAGGAACCCGCTTCTCATTTTAGGGTGTGTGGACAGGCTGTGTGAACCTTCTGTGGAGGGGGGACCAGGGCGCAAGGAGACGGTGGGAAGCAGCTCATGAATGGCTGTGGGGATTCCAGTCCGCCTACAGAGGCAAGTGTCCTCTCATACTCCAGGAGCTGCTGTGGGATCCAGGGGACAGCTTCTCCTCCCCTCTCACCCTGTTTTCTCTAGTGAAGTCCCTTCCTGTGGCTGCCACCAACTAGAAGAGAGTAAGGCCACTTCAGGCCCGTAATCTGGGGCTAACACACACCAGAATGGCTGCATACGTTAAGTAAATGGAGCTATTTCTAACTCTGCTGGCAAGCTGTCACACTCTCCAATTCAGGGTGCTCCCTGTTACTCCAGCTTCCCCCACCTAACCCCCTCAGGTAAGGGGGCAATGCCTGGCATGCCAGGGGTCCCAGGACCCTATTGATGTACCTCAGCAGCGTCACCTCTGATAGGTTGGTGCTTGTGCACCTGCTATCTGGTTGATTGGTTTTACACTGTCCCTGTCTAAATAACTTCTAAGCCTCAGCTCAAAGGCTGCCTCCTCCAGGAAGTCTTTCTTAAACCAACCGTCAACCATCTGGTAGGGATGTATAGCACCTCTGGGCCACCACGGTTCTCTGACTACCCTCTGATCATAACCTTGCCCACCTGCTAAATCCTGTTAAGATGATTTATGGCATTTTTATTGGCTTTAATAGCCTTGAATGCCAGAGGGCAGGGTCCAGCATTTAACTGAGTCAGTCTTTGATTCAGAAGCCAATATGGAACATTTTCTCACTGCAGCTCACCTTGCCAAGTGCAGGAAAAATACCATGTTGATGCCTCCCTGCCCTCAGGGAGCTCCATGCCCATGGTTTGTGCGTGTTCAGCAGCAGCCATCTCAGGAGCGGGACAGCCCTTTCAGCGATGCCTTCCCCCGTCCGCTCTCCGATCATCTGCCTTGTCAGAGTACACTGAAGTGTGTCACGCTCTGCAGCAGCTGCCCTCTAAGTGGTTGTCTCAGGCGGTGTCCATTCCAGAATGCCACCTTGCCATTTCTGAAGCTAACTCTGTGACTCTGACCCAGTGTGTACCCTGGGTGGTCAGCTGACCCCAATAGGCAGTTGTGTTGGTAGCAGTTGGCCTGACTCAGCTACTTGGCAAATCCAGGAGTGTAACTGACTGGATGCACCTGAATGAGGTAGAAGGGAGAGGTGAGTGATCTAGTTAAGGCAAGAGAGGTTATGGGGCAGAGAGGACAAAGTGAACCCCATGCCACAAAACAGCTGCAGGCACACAGCCCGGAATCAGCCAACAACAATTGCAGCTTCTGCTCACTTTTCCCCTAATGTTCTGAGTAATTTTTTTTTGAAAAGATGCTGTTGGAAGAGAGAGAGATCTTTCATCTGCTGGTTCACATCCCGGAGGACAGCAATGGCTAGGCTGAACCAGCCTGAAGCCAGGAGCCAGGAGCTTCTTCTGGCTCTCCCATGCGGGTATGGTGGTCCAAAGACCTGAGTCATCTTTGCTGCTTTCCTAGGTCATAAGCAGGGAATTGGATTGGAATTGGAGTAGCCAGGAAGCAAACAAACTCATGTGGAAGGGTGGTGTTGTAGACGTAGCTTAACCCGCTGTGCCATAGTGCTGGCCCCCTCTAATTTGTGTGTTTATGTGCATGTGTGTGGGTAAGCTACTGGAATCTCTTTGTTACTCGTAACAGGGCATCTCTGTGTAGACCTCTCCCCACCATTTCTGCAGTTCTTAACATTTCAGAGTACAGAGCTGCCACGGCCACAGCTCCATTCCTGCTCCCAAAGCTATTCTCTCTGACTCTGGCTCCCTCTTCAGCTGTTTCTCTGGGCTGGGTGGAGAGTGTGGACTCTGACCTTGGATTGCGCCTTCACCGTGGGAGACTGCCAAACACTGGAACAGGTTTCAGCTCCCAGGGTTCTTGTTTCCTGAAGCACCCAGGTGGGGACAGAGTGTACCAAGGACTGACGAGATTGCATGCCTGGCGCGTGACTTCTCTGAGGTCATGGGAGGCCAAGTCTATTGTCATAGGGGTCTGTGTGTGCAGACACACAGGGGTCCCATTGCTAAGACACCGTACTCTGATGAGGGCTGCAGAGGAAGAATTGAGGGAGGAAAGCCCATGGTTCCCAGCTGTGGGTTTTATAGCAAAAGACAGATCCAAGCCTTTCTGGGTGCCTCTGAGGCTGACTCAAAGGTGTGACCCACTGCACTGTGCATATTCATATTTTTAAAGGCTTATTTACTTTTGTTTGAAAGGTAGATTTATGGAGAGAAGGAGAGCTAGAGAGAGATCTTCTATCCTCTGATTCACTCCCTGAACAGCCATAATGGCTAGAGCTGAATGGATCTGAAGCGAGGAGCCTCTCCCGGGTTTGTCACATGGGTGCAGGGTCCCAAGGTTGTGGGTCATCTTATGCTGCTTTCTGAGGCCACAGGCAGGGAGCTGGATTGAAAGTAGAGCAGCTGGGACACAAACTGGTGCCCATATGTGATGCCAATGATGGCAGCTGGAGGATTGGCCTGTTGAGTCTCCATATTCATTTCCTAGGCCTGTTGTGACAAAGAACCATGGACTGAATGTCTTAAAAATGTGGGCTTGGTGCAATGGCTCAGTGGCTACATTTCTGCCTTGTAATCACTGACATGAGCTCCAGTTCGCCCTGATGTTCAGTCATCAAGCCCTGAGGATCCTAACTACTTTCTTTTTTTTTTTTAACTTTAAAAATATTTATTCCTTATTGGAAAATCAGATTTACAGAGAGAAAGAGGTACAGAGAGAAAGATCTTCCATCCCCTGGTTCACTTGCCGAGCAGCTGTATTGGCCGGAGCTGAGCCGATCCCAAGCCAGGAGCCAGAAGCATATGGGTGCAGGGTCGCAAGGCCTCTGCTGTCCTCTGTTGCTCTTCCAGGCCACAAGCAGGGAGCTGGAAGAGAAGCAGGGCTTCCAGGATTAGAACTGGCACCCATATGGGATCCTGGTGCATGCAAGGCAAGACAAGGACTTTAGTCACTAAGTTACTGTTGTGGGCCCGGATCCTAACTTTTTTTTGAAAAAAAAGGTTTATTTATTTTTATTGCAAAGTCAGATATACAGAGAGGAGGAGAGACAGAGAGAAATATCTTCAGTCCGATGATTCACTCCCTCTAATGACTGCAACAGCCAGTACTGCGCTGATCCGAAGCCAGGAGCCAGGAACTTCCTCCAGGTCTCCCATGCGGGTGCAGGGTACCAAGGCTTTGGTCTGTCCTCGGCTGCTTTCCTAGGCCGCAAACAAGTAGCTGGATGGGAAATGGGGCTGCTGGGATCAGAACCGGTGCCCATATGGGATCCTGGCATGTTCAAGGTGAGGACTTCAGCTGCTAGGCCACCATGCTAGTCCCCCAGATCCTAACTTTTAAACGTTTCCTCTCCTTGTTCATCTTGGTTCGTAATCTGGGTGATGGAAGCTGCCTCCTAATGGGTTTGGCCGAGTCCAGCTAACTAGAATAATCTTCCGAAAAGGTGTACCTCATCCTCCCATTCCATTAAGATCCTTCATCGGTTTCCCATTACTCTTAAAAACAAAACAAACAACCCCCCCCCTTTTCTTAAAGATCTGTTTTTGTGTTATCGGAAAGGCAGATTTACAGAGAGAAGCGGAGACAGAGAGAAAGATCTTCCATCTACTAGTTCACTCTTTAAACGGCTTCATTAGCTGAAGCTAAGCTGATTGGAAGCCAGAAGCCAGGAGCTTCTGGGTTTTCCACATGGGTGCAGGGGCCCAAGTACTTGAGCCATCCTCGGATGCTTTTCTAGGTTACAAGAAGGGGTCTGGATGGTAAATGGAGCAGCCGGGGACATGAACTGATGTCCAGATGCATGTTACCACTTGTAGGTGGAGGATTAGGCAATTCAACTATCACACTACCATAATCCCC